GTCCGGCGCTGCTGAGAGCTTGTTTCATGACACCCGCTGGCCGAGGTCAGCGCTTTCCTCCTGGACCTTCCCTCTTTTTCACTGGCCTACAGTGTCCTGCTGTATGTGGAGCAAGCAGAGCAGATGTGTGTGTATATGTACTGGCATCTGTACGGTGCTGTGACACTTGGCGATAGCTTTTGAAAGTGCTCAGAGCACAAGAAGTTTCTTTATATACCACAGGAGCTGCCATGGAGGAATGTGCCGAGCCCTCCCCTGCACCAGCCTTGCCTTGCAAACACCACCGATTAGCTGAGATTAGTGTCTCTGTGCCTTCTGCCCTCTGTAATCAGGGTTTATAATAAGCACTTGTGAGAACAGCCTGGGTATAGAGTACTGGGGAGCTGTGAAAGGAGAGTGTCAGCAATGCAAAGGGAAGGAGCAATACAAAGGTTTTAAAATGAAGCTGGTGTGTGGAGATGGTTTGTGTCTTAAGCATTGTGTCATGGCTGAGAGGCCTTTTTCAATTCTTAGGGTGGCTGCTTGTCACCTGGGTGACCTTGGACAAGTCTTTTCTGCTCAAGTTTTGTTTTTAGCTAAGGGGGATCAGGCTATCAACTCCTTTGTGTGTTGTGCTGGAAGCCCAGCATCAGGACTGGTTGGAATGGTTGGGTGCCCAGTGGCAGGAGGAGGATTGGGAAACTCGGTAGGAGGGGATTTTGGATTGACAGCATTTGGGTGGTGCAAGAGAGAGAAGGTCTTGCTGGAGTGATACCAGGGATGATTATCATGGTAGCGTTGAGGGCCAGTTAGCCAATACAACCACCGCTACAGTCTTTTGGGATGTATTCTAAGCCACAGTTATTTCAAGTTAGTGTAGGTGAGGAATTTTTGCCTCTGTCAGCATTGTTTGCATGGTCTGTCGTGATTTGAGAACATGTGCTTTTACTTTTCACTGTTTAGCTGCATGCTCCCTGTTTCCCAGTGGTGGGGAGTGCTCTGACCAGCTGGGTTTTGCTTTGCAGACAGTGTTACCTTTTAAGGACAATGTGCAAGAAACCATTGCTGGGGGAGGCTGCAGGGAAATGCTGCTTCTGTCCAGCGACTCCTGTTGGGTCTGAGGTTTGTTAATATGTTAGGTCTGCAATCGGATGTCTGTAGAAGGAGGAGGAATTGTCATGATTAATTAATTAAAGGTCCTGATAAAAGCATGAGCTTTCTCAGAGGTCTTGTATGCTATTTTAGGAGATGACAGCAGGTGGCAACCTCTCCCTAAAAATTATCCTGAGAAAGAGTTCAATACTTGTGAGTTTTTCTCAAGCAGCCACAAGAAGTTGCTAAAGAAGAGCTTTTTCCTGCTTTAAGGCTCGTGAGTCCCGTCCTGGATACAGACATCCACACACTGTATAGAACGATCGCTTCTCTTAAGAGTAAGACTCAAATCAGAATCTTATTTTTTTCATTCCCCTTGCCTTCCAAACTTAGAGCCCACTGATTTAAGGAGGTGCTGCTGCATCCCTGCAGAACCTGAGCTGCAATGAAGCTGAACTGATAGAAGGTGCTTAGGAGATGGTGTGATACTGTGATCCTTTTGCTTCTTATGCATCTCCTGTGGGCCTTCTCAAGTCTGTGCTACTTTGCCTTGAGGACCAGGGACACAGTGTACCTATTCAATACCTGTGATCCAGCACTTCTACAGTTGTTCTGTGAGCCACTCTAAATTATGCCTTGTTTGCTTTCCTATGTCTGGGTGAGCCACAATGGGCAAGACACTTTACCTTCCCATTCTGTCTTGACTACAGTTTGTGAAAAGAGAACAGTAATGTTGATTTTCTTATGCAAAATGCTCTATTGACAAGAAAAGTTGGACAATTGATCAATACTGTTCTGCATGTTTTCTTGGCTTGTCTTCATATTTGCCTGTTAAATGGAAACTGTGCTAGCCATGCAGTCAGTCAAGCACAGAGGGTAAGAAGTGGGAGCTTGTGCCACTCACCTGGCTAAGTGGGTGATGGTTAGACTCTTCATTGTTTCCAGTTAATTTACTAGAGGGAAGAGGTCTCTTGGCCGTTGTCTAATAATGTTTATGGGTTAGCAGGGGAGTTGTCCTCCCAAAAGTCAAGAAGCAGTGAGGCCTGTATGAACAGTCATGGACTGTTCCTGGAGGAGGAAGAGGCAGGAAAGGGACTAGTAAAGAACTTATCAGCTGTCCCGCTTCCCCACGTCAGTGGAGTCAGGTGGTGCCTTGTCCTGTAGGCTGTTGCTAGCAGGTTCACCTGCGTCCTCCTGGGGGTATTTTCATTCCCTACTTGCTGATGAAGGGAAGAGACTTGGACAGTGTTCCTGCACTAGTATGGGAGACAGGTGAGTCGGTGCTGAAACTTCTTGGTAGAGAGAATGCGATTGAACCCTAACGAGTACCCCACAAAGCGAGTGGTGGAAGATAGGAAAGTAAGCTTTAGAGGTCTGTTATGGTGATGAGGAGATGATCTTCCCACATATGTTCCTAGGCTGCAAAAAGGGATAGTTGCACTTGTTTCATTGTACAAGAGTTCTGTTCAGATTCCTCTGGGTCTCAGCTAATTGGGATAAGTTAATGTGAGAACAGCAACAGGCATTTTGAGCTTGGTGAGATACTGCTGCAGGCTAATGCTAAAAAGCATTGCATAAATTCTAATAAAACAGTATATCCTGATGGTGCATGGGGGAGAAAGAGGATTTCCTTATCTTCTGACTGGTAGAGTGGAGAAGAAACCCTAAAAAGGCTGTGGAGTTATTAGCCAGGAGGTCGAAGCCCAAGAATCAATGCTGACCAGATTTCCCCTTGTGTGGCCTTCAGGAGGCCCTAGCTTCATATAAGCCACAAGATGACACAAGACTTTTTCAGAACTGTTTTTTTTTGTTTGTTTGTTTTATTGGGGTTTTTTTTGATGCTTTGGCCAGACAGTGGGCTGGCCACAGCAAGCTGCCTTTATGGACTTGTTTGCTAATAAACATCCATACTCTGGCCTGAGTAAGGCCGAACTCTGAAGCACTGGCGCTTGTAGCCCTGTGTCTGAAGAGAGCCACGTGATGCAGACTGTGGTTTAACCGTCAGCCCAGCTCACACAACAGCATTAAGTAACCAGGAGAGGTTAGTCACAGTGAGCTGGCAAGATGCAGAGTGCTTTACTGTGCTGCCTGCTGACAGTTTGACTTTATTCAGCACACTACCATATGAGTGCATAGTTAGCAGCTCTGTTTAGCTGGAGTTAAAAGACTGCACTGCAGCCAAACTTGAAAGGTTTGCGAACTGCTCATGGGAATGACCGCACTAGCCTGTGAATGATGTGTCCACACATCATTTAAGTCACTGACGTGCCTAGAAGGTCTGGGCATAGTCTGGGATTGAGAGGTGCTGGGTGCTTTCTCCTCAGCAAGAATGGGATCCTACGTGGAACAATAATTTTTATTTATATTCAGTTTTGCAGCCTCCTGGCTGCCTGCTGTTGATATTTGACTTAAAATTAGCCTGCTACATTATTGCCCAACTAATCTCTTTCCAGTGACGTGTGGAAGTTGTGTTGCCATTTTACAGGTGCCAGTTGATCTATCTGGAGTAAATAAAAAGAAGTATGGTCAGAGGTGAGACGGAAACCCAGAAGTTACTTTCGGATCACTTCTTTTCACTTTCTCGTACTGTTTACAAACTCAAGCAGAAAGTAAAATGATTTTTTTCTTTTCACTTCTCAGAGGAGCGAGAACAAAGTACATTAACTGAACTGACACGTGATAGCATTGCACTTTGTTTTGTGTTGCCATGTCGCTTTTCTGCTTGGAATTTAGCCTGCCCTGAGATTCCTTCTACTCCCTTTTTGCCTGTGTATATACTGAAATCAGCTTGTTCGGAGAGAGCAACTAGTGCTTTGCAAATACATTTGTTTCAGTTAATTTCTGCAGCTGATTTAAACCAGCCTGGACTGAAGACTGGAGTATGTTGTTTTAGATCCCCTTCCTTTTACTGAAACTCTCCTGTAATTGAGGTATATCAAAAAGACAGCTGAATGTGAAAGAAAATCTGGCATCAGGCAGCTGAAGTTGTTTTATTTCTTCGTGTGTGTTTTTTAATGGATTCTAAAATGCCCTAATTCAGTGCAATAAAACTGTATCGACTAGCTCAGGAAGTAGCAAGTAACTTCTCTCTGTTGAGAGCGATTTGTTCTTGTGGTACCTTCCTAAGAGGGATATTTTGTTACTGATGTGATTATTTTCATGCGGACTTTATCACGCTGTTCTGACTACTGTGTGAATTTTCTTCTAGAGCCTAGAAAATGAAGCTAAAGGAAATTGAGCGAACAGCTGTCCAGGCATGGAGTCCAGCAAACAACCACCCCATTTATCTAGCAACAGGTAAAATTCTTCACAATTCATGAAAATTAAAGTATGAGTCACAGAGAGATTTTATGTCAGGTTGTATTCGTTTTAACTTTCTAGAATTCCCACCTTAATAATCTCTGGAAAACTTACAAGCAGTATACCAAAACCATTACAGACTTAATTTTTTTTTTTAAAGTGACCTGTAGGGGATTATTTTTATACCCAACTTTGACATCTTAAAGGCCAGGGATTTTTCAAAGGGTGAACGTGTGATTTTTTGATCTAACGTTTAATTAAGTCTGTATGAACTCCAACACCTGCTTGCTACGAAAAATAAAACAAAGTAAGTTTACTTACTTGGTATGTCTGTGGAAAAAAAAAGTTCATTCTAATCACGTTAATTTAAGCTCACTTTTACTTTGTCAGTCCTCAGACATTATCACATCGCTTGACAATCAAATAAGAGAAATCTCCCTGAAGTTGCCTCTTTTGGTTGACATTGAATTTTCAATACTTCTGCAAAATCTTAAATTTGCATTTTGTTGATGTTATTAGTTATTTGCTATTGTTATAATAATTTTGTTTCCTGAAGCACAAAGTCAGCCTGTTCACTGAGGTGGCAGTAGGTGAGCTTAGTGTTTATGTGGATCTGACAGCTTGGGTTGTCTGCTCAACATGAGATCTAGTCAGCTCTGTCTCCTGCCTGAGTTGTGCAGCACTGCCCTGTTGGTTTGACTTTTTAAAGGTATGACTGTCAAAAGAAAGTGACAGAAGTTCAGCTATTGCCTTAAAAGCAACATCACAATTTTTGGGATAGATAGTCTATTTTGTGTTTCTCTAATAAGGCCAGGGCTTGGCTTCAGTCTACTTTAGATCAGAAACTGCATAGTTTCATAATTTATACTGCTTTTTAATAGTCTCTTGGGCCTTACCATAGGCAGTTCCACAGCATCCCTGTGGTAACTGGGTAACTGTTTGCCTGGCAGTGTCCCATTAGGCAATGTTAAATAAGTTTTTAGCTTTTATTCTGTAAGCTAGCACGAAGGAAGGAAGCTGCCCCTGTGTGACTGCTGCCCCTGTGTGTCTGTGGGTCGTTGGGGTGTGTTTAGTTGGCTAAGGTTGAAGAACTTTAGGTGTAGACTAGGTTTAGAAGGTCTGATCAAGACATCTGGTCATGGTTGAGGAGCCATGTACAGAAGTATTTGGGATCATAATTGTAGCTGGGTTTCATGATATGACTGCATTTGTAACTTAGATACTTAGACTTAATATCAGAAGCTGTGGCTGCTTGGAAGAGGGTGTAAGAATTGTATCTATACCAAGAGAGAAGTTATTTGCGCCACAGTGACCCTGGTGAACAGAATTTCTTGAAGAAGTTCTGAATTCTTTCAGAGTCTTTGTCAAAGCTGTTGGTTCCTCTTTCTGCGGAGTTCAGACATGTCCTTTCTTTGAACAGGAGCAACACCAATGTTGTGTTGACTGTGAAGAATAGGTTTCCAGTGTCTTGCTCTGTTTGTATCTTGTGCTCTTGAAAAAAGTTCCCACTAGTATTGCCCTTGTACTTCTGCTAGGAACATCTGCCCAGCAACTGGATGCATCCTTCAGTACAAATGCCACCTTGGAAGTGTTTGAGGTTGACTTCAGGGATCCCTCCCTGGACATGAAGCAGAGAGGAACACTTCCTGCCTCAAACAGGTACTAAAGGCTCATACTGGCGTATCAGTCAGTGGAACTGAAAAGAGCTTTTCTGGTACAAGAGAGGAGATGAAGAGCTCATGTTTTGGGGGTATAAATTGATATTTTTGATCAGTTGTCCTCTGTTGGCAAGAACTGAATGTTTTTGTTGCAAAAATCCTGTTGTGTGTGAAAGTACAGCAGCTGGACCATTGGAGAAATCTGAAAGGACTTACATGGTAGTCAGTCAGGAGACTCATTCTGTATCGTGTGAATTTGCTGGGGCTGATGATTTGCAATAAAGAAAATACAGGCAGAATGAAACTTGTCTTCCAGCTTTTTAAGACAAGGCAATTTCTTACGCTCGTCAGTGTGGGTGACATTTGCACCCAGTGTAAAACACAGCGTTGATTTGTAACTAGCAGCTTTTCAGTGGGTAAACATATTTTTCAGATAATAACTCTGGAAAAGAAGGCATATAGTCCTGTAACCTGATTTTGTATAGCGTAGGTTAGAGGAGTTCACCCACCAAACTCCATATGAGGTCCAAAATGTTTTAAGTGGGGAGGGGGGGAAGGGACAGCCTAGTAAGAAGCTTTGTAAGTTCCCTTTAAAAGTCTTTGGAAGGAAGCTAATTTCTTTTTTTTTTTTTTTTTTTTTTTCCATGCAAGAGCTACGGTCATCTTCAAAAGGAAATGATTATTTAAGGTGCAGACTGATCGTTGTGTTTGATAGGTGGAAACACGGATGTGGTTTTTGGAAATGCAGAGGGTGTGTTGATTTCCACAGAATATTGTGGCCTATGCCAGCTTTGTTTTCTTCTTTTTTAGGTTTCATAAGCTGATCTGGGGTAACTTTGGAAATGGGTCCCCAGAGTCCTCTGGAGTGATCATTGGTGGAGGGGATAATGGTGTACTGACAATGTACAGTGCACATCGCATCTTGGCTTCAAAGAGTGAGCCTGTGATTGGGCAGACAGAGAAGCATTCGGGTCCTGTTCAAGCTCTTGACTTTAACCCTTTCCAGGTATGCAGCATTAAGATACTTATAACAAAATGGAAGTTAACCTCCATATTAAATTAAAAAACATGTTTTTTCCTTGTGTCTAGAGATTTTTAAACGGAAGGAACAGTTTTTAACCTGAAAGAGATATGGTAGTTGTGACACCAGACTGTGGTTTGGGACTCAGATTTGGGTTCTGTTCACAGCTTTGCTACTGAATTCCCCTGTGACCTTGATCAAGTCCCTTACCTTTCTGTAAAAACATGTCTTGTAATATTGTTACATGTTAGACAGTTACCCATTTGAAATCAGAAATTTTTTGGTTTTGTTTGTTCAATTAGTGTCTAATTTAGTGGGGCTCTGGTCATACTTCAAGGAACTGCAATGTAAGTAGGTAGTGAACAGAACACAAGTTCTCGTGGTAGCACAAAGGCAAATTGAAAGTTGTCTGCAGACCCTTGTGGAAAGCCTGCGTCTTCTCAGAAGAAATGTCCTTGGTGCTTGGATGCAGGGCAAAGGCTTAGCTGGCTAGAGACAGTGGCTTCCAGGCTTGTGGCAGGTGAGTTTCATGATTAGTAACACCAGCCACCTGCACACATAGTTTGCAAGACAAATTTTAAACAGGTCTGTACCATAGCACAGGTGAAGGCACAGAGGCCAGAAACATGCTTGGTTTATAATCTGGTTAGTATCTTTCTGCTTACCAGTGACTGTGAAATGCAGCTCTCAGCTGACTTTGTAAGCTTTTGGGTTTTTTGCTTACATTTAGTTTTAAGAAGTCTGCCCTTTTTACAAGTGGAACTGAGCTGAGCTTTTCTTTTTTCTACAGAGTAACCTCCTGGCTTCTGGAGCCAATGATTCTGAAATTTTCATCTGGGACTTGAATAACTTCAGTGTGCCTATGACTCCAGGGCCTAAATCGCAGGTAAATGAGTTTTCCTCTGGGCAGTACCCCTGCAGTTTTATATCTCAGTAGGCAAGGCAAAAAGATGTGAGTGTGTGGAGTTATCCTGGTCTAGTCAGTCTGTGAGGGGGAATGACCTTGACATCTCTCAGGAGAAAGATGAATCAGAACTGACTGATCAGCTTCAGTCTGGGGAGAAGGGGGGGAGAGGTAGACTGACAAGCTCTGGAAGGATGCACTTTGTATGGATGGGTAAGCTTTTTGTGGATTTGAATCAAGTAACTGACGAGTTTATCTTGTGATCCAGCTGGGACATGTGTGATGGATTAAGAAGGCTTATTGGACCTTCGCTGAGGAATGAATTTACTTCAGGCTTCAGCTGAAGCTTTTCATATCTTATGGAAGTAATATCCCTAGCAGAGCCAGTGAGCCATTTAATGCATCTTGGCTATTACTCCCAGATAATGTTTCCTGAGTTTGGGGAGGAAGAAGCTTCTAATGCTGATTATGTTATTCAGGGCAATCAACTCCTGAAAGTGAAAAAAAGTAGTAAACTTGCCTAAAAGCAGGCCAAGTTTTTCCTCCAATAAGCCTCCCATTTGTCTCCTTGCCTGTCTCCTGCATTGCGGTAGATACAGTAAGGGCAATTAGTGTTGAATGCTTCATCATTTTCCATCTCGCTGCACTCCTGAAATGTTGCACAAGGTCATCTTTCCGTTTAAGTTTATCCCAGGAGTCAGGGTAGAAGCATCTACATTCTCGCAGCTGCAGTTCTCTCTGGACTGATTTATGACACACTTGGCCAATGCAGAATCCAGTACCTGTTCCCAAAATGCAAAGGTACTTTTCCAGATGACATTCCCCCATATAATTTGTCTGTCCACTGTACATTCTGAGCATTTCGTTCTCCCTAGTCTTTCTGGTCAGTGCTGCTGTTTCCAGTTAGTTGATCAGTGATGGAAGAGAGGAATCTGTATATCCTCAAATCCCTTAGTTAAACTAGTGACAGAATCCTGTGATTAGTGTTCCCTCAACATGGGAATAATGGATGTGTGGCTTTCCTATCTTGACAGCCTCATGAAGACATCAGTGTGGTGTCCTGGAATCGGCAAGTGCAGCATATCCTGTCCTCCGCTCACCCCAGTGGAAAGGCTGTGGTTTGGGACCTCAGGAAGAATGAGCCTATCATCAAAGTCAGTGACCACAGCAACAGAGTGAGTGGAGGAAAGACAGTGATTCTAACTAGCTTGCATGACACACGTGACTGCAAAGCAGTGGCCGAGGCTCTTGGAATCGAGTGTTTTTATTGTGGGAGCTGTTTGGGCTGGTCTCTTGGAGCTGTAGCATCAAAGCACCTCTCTCTTTTTTTCCCTAAAGAAATGGAGAAATAAGAGCCCTAGCTGTTCCTAAAATTAGGGCACCCTTGCATTCAATTTTTATGTTCACAGCTCATTTATGAGAAACCTCCTATGTTTTAATCCCAGCTGTCTTCCTAGATCAACTTTGAATTAGTCCTTCAACTTCTGTGTGGTTAGTGTTTTTTTTGCTGTGTAGAGAAGGTAGAAATACCTGCTTCCCACAGCAAGACATTGCTAGACTTGCTTTACGTCAACCATTCAAAGGGAGTTGAGTGCAGAATGATGTGGCTCTAGGCCATTAGTACTATTGCCAACTTGCTTTGCTGAATTTTCAGCCTATGCTATTTTTGTCCCTAGATGCATTGCTCAGGAATGGCCTGGCATCCAGAAGTTGCAACCCAGCTAGTCCTTTCCTCTGAGGATGACCGTTTGCCAGTGATCCAAATATGGGACTTACGTTTTGCTACCTCTCCTTTGAGCCAGCTGGAAGGACATACGAGGTGAGGGCCTGCTTGTTGTGTTGCCTTTTCAAGGATCTCCATCTCTAAAAGGCAGGCGTCTGGGAGACTGGACTTAGGAGAACCATGATTTTTTTGCTATGCCTGCTTTGTTTCACAGATTAATCTGGTTGAGGGTAAAGATGAGAACTAGCATTTCTCATCTTAAGCAGCATTTCTGCTGCTTTCTTGGTGACAGTGTGGGAGAGTGGGCTGGGTATGAAGTATGACTGATTTCTTTTGGATCTATTTTAGGGGAGTTCTCTCTGTCTCTTGGTGCCAGGCTGACCCTGAACTGCTGTTGAGTAGCGCCAAAGACAACCGGATCTTGTGCTGGAACCCAAGTATGGGGGAGGTACATAACGACTGCTATAAGTACATGTGGTCTGCTTTATACAGTCGTGTGCTATGCTATGTATGTGTCTCTTCTCTGTAACCCTGTGGAGTGCCAATGTAGTTTCCTCCAGTATGTCTTCTGCACTCTTCCTGTCTGGAGCGAATGAGAGTGTTGTCCCTATCCAGACTGAAAACAACAGAGACAGGGAGTGATTTAATCAGATATGTCTCTGCCAAAGACACCAGGGGGAAGAAAGCTTTAACTAAAACTTAGTTTCAGCTAATTATGATTACTCTTGCTATATTCACACATGTAGTGTTCTCTGTATCCATTTGTTTCATCTTTGTCCTTCTTCTAGGATAGTAAGTTTTTTGTGGGGAAACTCAAAGGAGAATGAAGGGAAATTGTTAGGGTCATTGAGAAGGGAACAATGTAATTAAATACGTGTGTAAACTTTATTCATAGTACAGTGGTTTCACATGTATGTGCTTATCCAGTCATGTATCTCAGAATCACCATCTTTAAAATATTTTGGTATTACCTGAATTAAAGGACCATGGAAAATTTTTTTCTGCACACCTGCTTATTCTATGTGGAATTTCTGGATAAAACTGAATTTTGGACTGTGAACAAAATTAATACAGTTGATCTTGATGATAGCATAGGGAAGGTACTCTAACATTACCGAAAAAAGTCCAGCTGAGAGCCCCAGGCTGGATTAATTTCGTGGGACACTTTCACTTAGCTGACCACCTTTGCCTTGGAGGACATGGAAAAAACTTAATCCATTTTCATTAAATGCATGAAATACTGCTGTTGTGGTTTTATGGGATTTGATGCTCACTTTGCACAGATGTCTGCTAGTCAGAAGAGAATCAGATTCTGAAACATTCCTGAAGTATAATTTTTACTTAAGTCTTTTCACAGTGTTTTAGTGGAAAAATTTTAAAACAGTTTTAAGTGCAGCTGGCTCATCTTTGTGTGCTGCTGTAGATTTGCAGAGTCCAAATTCAACTTAGGCATTTATGCACAAATGATTGTTAGAGGGCTGTTCTTGACTTGGTACCAATGAACAGAAGATTTTCAGGTGATACAGAAATTGGGAAGGTTTTCAATAGTAAGGACAGTACAGTTATACAGAAAGGCTGATCTGTTGAGTTTGGGGGAAAGGTTGGTTTCTTTAGGTATATTTGGGTGGTTTTTTTAGGTGGTTGTTTTTTAATTTAACAATCCAGATTTTAATATAAGCAAATGCAAGGTTTTATAAATGGGAACAGAAAATGCAGATAACGTTCCCACAGAGAAGGAAGTGGTGATTCTCTGTACTTTGTGTGTGTGAGGCGTAAAGGAAATCTCTTCATTTTACAAACTGGAGGTTCAAAGTCAAAGGTTAGGGTAGTGAGTTGCCTAACATCATGCAGGAATTCTGTGACTGGACCATTAATTGAATTTTGGGTTTTTGAGTGCTGGACCAGAAACTCATTGGCCACAATATCCTTCAGAGTTCATCTGCAGCTATTACAGTCCTCTTTTGTTGTTCTACTTTTTCTGTAGGTTTTTGTTTTCCTTGTCAAATTTGTTATTTCAGACTATTCTTTCTGTTTAGACATTCTTGCTCATGAGACCTTCTTGCCTTTTGGCTTCTGGTTTTCTTGGATTGTCTTCTGGTGTGTCTCTGTTAACAGCAGGTGTGACAGTACTGACTTGGTGCTTTTGTGTTTTGTTCTACAACCAAAATGCTATGGTATAGCAGCTTTCTATGACTTCTGTTTGGGCTCAATGTGCTATAACTTGGTTGCAATGCATCCTTCAAGAAGCAAAAATAAGAGGCTTGTATAATATGGTGATATGTAAATAAAGTGTGACACACTTGCTGTGGGCAAGTGATTTGGGGAAAGCAGGGGACTGTTTGTGTTGTGCTTCTGCCTTCTCTCTTTCTGTGACAGGTGGTTTATGAGTTGCCCATTTGGAATCAGTGGTGCTTTGATGTCCAGTGGTGTCCTCGGAATCCTTCAGTCTTCTCTGCTGCCACTTCAAATGGGTGGATCAACATTTATTCTGTTATGGGTGGGAACTTAGAAGCCCAGCAGAAGACACAGGCTGACAAGGTAAAGTCCTGTGAACATTATGGCTTCACAGATTGACAATAACTCACCTGACTTCTGAGGGCATTAGAAGCACACATGTAACAGTATGATTTTTAAGTGATGCAGTCTGTCCTACCCACCAGGATGTATAGCTGTATGGTGTGGGAACCAGAAGCTACCTGTGTGGGGACTATCCACTGCTAATATCCACCAAGTCCCAAAGGGCAAAGGTTTCTCAGTATTTCTTGTAAAGTTCATTAAAGTGTGTCAAGATCAAGTGTAGTTTTGATGTTATATGTATTTTATGGTTGTTACTACTAGACTAAAAATAAAGCAGCACACCTGTTAGAGCAACAAGCTTGTCTTGTCATTAGGCTAAAATTAAATACATTTATACTAAATAATACAACCTGTTATTAGTTCAGAAGAGAATTTTTTAAAGTAGCTTATAAGGCACTTTTAGCCATTTTCCTCAAGTCAATTGACTGTAACTTGCAGCATGTTAATATTTTGATATTGAAAATCATTACATAGCCAATTAATAGATGGGCAAACTCTGAACAGCTTAAGTGTAAGTGCTGTCTAAAATTTTAGTTTTAATCTGGTGTCTAGTCTTTTAATTCCCTGCCTCTCTCCCAGCTGACAGACGCCTTACAATACAGGTTTTAAGACAATACTTATGAGCTGGTGTCTTGGTGTCAGGACCACCACCACCACGTGGTCGCAACACCGCCTCCCCCCCCCACTCCTCTCCCGGTAAGATGGGGGCAAATAAGAAAAAGTGGAACCTCCTGAGTTGAGATAACGACAGATTTTTAATAATACCACACGAGGAAAGCAAAAGAAAGAAGAATATAACAATAAGACAAGATATAGAGTACAATGGAAACACTGATACAATGAAAATCTCACCACCACGAGCTTCACAAAAGAGACCCCTCTCCCGGCTAGCTTCCCCTTATATCCCGGGCATGACGTCAGCATGGTATCGAATATCCGGCTATGCCCAACTCCCAGCTTCTGTGAAGAATTAACCCTATCCCAGCTGGACCCAGGACAGCTGGCTTAAGTGTTATTTATATAGTCATTTACAGCTGACTGAGTTCAGTTTTGTAGGATTTGTGAGAGAAAGAAAATACTTTATCAAGCAACAGCTGTAGGAAATTAAGGGTTTATTTGAACCATGGAGAATTTTCTTTCTGTGCATTCTTCATATGTCTGCACTACACTTCCAGTCTTGAAAACTGGAGAACAGTAGGGTAGAATAACTCCTAGATAAATAGAATAACAAGTAAGAACCTAGATAAATAGAATAACAAGTAGGGAAAAAAAATAGGAGGAGATAATGACAATTATGGAGGCAGGGAGTTCATGACCAAGAGGTCTCTTTCCTCTGCATTCCATGGTATCCGGACCGAAACTCTGTTGAAGACCTGGTGGCTGATGTTGCTGGTAGCCTGGAAGTGGGTATTTATTTTTCTAAGGTTTAGGGTGATTGATTTGCTAGGTGTAAACTGTTCCTTCAGGAGATGGTCTTTCTTTGGAATTGGTTTCCCCTCAGGAAAGACTTGAAAGACAAAACATGTAGGTCTTTCCTGTGATTCTTTGTTTGGCAATCTTAGCTTGATGAGCCTTGTGTTGCTACTTTTCTGGTGTGCTGGTCAGCTGTATTTTGGAGCTATGCCCTATGGTCCAGTCAAACTTGAAGAGGTTTATCTTTAGCAAACAACAAATCTATGCCAGTAGTGTTAAAAATTAAGAATGCTTGTGAACAGCATTGTATGTATGTTCACTGACTTGCTAAATGTCAGAAATCCAGATCAGAGGCCGCTTTTGACACTCTTGTCTAGGCAAGAAAGTCTGTAGAGATTGTATCACCAGCCTCATCTAAGCTATAAAAGCTTGAGATGGTTCTTAAAACTACCCCATTTGAAAGACCTAAGACCTCAGCAACAGAAAGGGAGTCAGCATTCCTTTGTGAGCAAAACAAGAAATAAGTTGGACAGCTTTTGACCATATATTGTCACTGTCTTGTGTAAAGCAAGGAATTCTGTAACTCCTGTATTTATGAGATGGGAGCTAGGCAAGGCAGTGTTTGTCAGGGAATTTGCATCTTGCTAAGGAAAAATTACTTGAAAAATCTCTCAAGATGAAGCTTTGTTGAGAAATAATTTCTGGAACTGTTTGGAAATACTGCTTCTCTCACATAGAGGCTTGGTGCTGTAATAGCCTTTTTCTTCATTGGCAAGGAAAGTAACTATTTACTAAGCAATAGTTTTTTGTGCTTACTCTGTACAGAGAAGAATTGAACTATATCTTATTCTTTTCTCCATATGATTCTAGATCTCTTCCTCCTTCAACAACTTGGATCCCTTTGGCACAGGACAGATCCTTCCACCTCTGCAGGTGCCAGAGCAAGTAGCTCAGACCACCTTGATTCCACCATTAAAAAAGCCACCCAAGTGGATTCGCAGACCTGTGGGGGTTTCGTTTGCAGTAAGTGAATGGAGCATCCTTAGCTTAAAATGCAATAGATGGGTCATCTCACAGTCCCTTTCTTTCACTAGAGAGACCTCATCTTCCTGTTGCTGGTTGTTTTAATGCCTGTTTAAGGTGCAGCGTGGTGTCCCATGGAGCAAAGCTTGTTCGCTCAATGTTCAAATATATTTCCAACAAGAAAGAGTCCTACAGCAGGGAATGGGAGGTTATGAGTAAGAGTTAACAAAGCTAAGGAAGACTCGCAAAAGCTGTCTTTGTAAGCTGTGACATGCATTCCCATTGTCCTCTTTCTCCTTCCTATTCAGGTGTTTAGTTTGCTTCACCTATTTGCTCCTAAATAGAAGGGCTGAATTGTTCTTTTAGCCTGTGACTTGACTTGTTTTCTGTCTAGTGGCTGCCATTCACATGATAGTTTGTATCATTACAGCCTGCCTCTCCATGTCAAAAAAGAACAAACAATTCCAAATGGTACTTTTTCCTCTGTGCCTCTCTGGCATTTGTGATTTGCTAGGCCTGATAGCATATACACAAGCGTCATTGTTATCAGTTGTCAGCTGAAGGGTGAACTGTGTGATGTGAACTCCCTCAAGGTCCCTACCATCCATACACCTTAAACTGTTTGGGTTCCTTGTGATTACAACTGGAGCGTGAGTGCACCTTGCTGAATGAAGACCTAAGTGAGATATTTTTACCTTCATTTGTAAGTATGCTTACTGTGTCTCCCTCTGTCTTTCTCAGTTTGGAGGAAAACTTATTTCCTTTGGTCTTACCAAAGCTCCTGGACAGCAAACGCAGCAGACTTACCCACACCAGATATTTATCAGTCAAGTCACTACTGAAACTGAACTCCTGCTCCGATCCAGAGAACTCCAGATGGCCTTACAGTCAGGGAACCTCCTTGATTACTGCCAGGGCAAGATCCAGACAGCCAAGTTGCCATTTGATGAGAACCTTTGGAACTTTTTGAAGGTAGGATGGCTGTGGTGAAAGATGGAGATCAGTTCTTTTACGGTCCTGGGTTGGAATGTGTTCATTATGGTCCTCTCTAGCTATTGTGGTTTAACCCCTGCCAGCAGCTAAGTGCTACTCACTTCCTCAAGTTGGGATGAGGGAGAGAATCGGAAAAGTGAGAAAACTTGTGTGTTGAGATAAAGACAGTTTAATAGAGAAAGCAAAAGCCATGCATGCAGGCAAAGCAAAACGAGGAATTCATTCACCGCTTCCCATTGTCAGGCAGGTGTTCAGCTATCTCAAGGAAAGCAGGACTCCATCACACGTAAGGGCTACTTGGGAAGACAAAACACAATCACTCTGAACATCTCCCCCTTCCTTCTTCTGCTCCCAGCTTTATGTGCTGAGTGTGATGTCACATGGTGTGGAATATCCCTTTGATCAGTTGGGGTCGGTTGTCCCAGCTGTGTTTCCTCCCAACTTTGTGTACTCCCAGCCTACTTGCTGGCAGGGCAGTGATGAGGGAGAGAAAAGGCCTTGACTCTATGTAAGCACTGCTCAGCAATAACTAAAACATCCCTGAATTATCAACACTGTTTCCAACACAAATCCAAAACACAGCCCCATACTAGCTACTATGAAAAAATTATCCTAGCCAAAACTGCAAGAGTGTATAGATGAGGGTCTATCCTGAAGATATCTCTCTGGGTTGTCTCTCTCTGTCTCTGGGTCATTTCTGTCTCTCTTGGTTGCATCTTGGACTCCTGGGCTCTTATGTCTTTTCTGGTATTGTAGTGTCAGGACTTCATCTGCTCTGGGATCATTAGCTGGGAACAGGTTGAGCCTTGGTCATCGGGTGATGAGCAGTTGCACTGTGTATCACTCAGTTGTATATTTATTATTATTATTACTGTTATTATCAATTTTGTTTAGTTATTAAACTGTTCTTATCTCAACCCATGAGTCTTTTTTCCCTTTACCCCATTAGTTCTCTCCCCCATCCCTGGCGGGAGGAGGGTGAGCAAATGACTGTTTGCTGTTTGCTGCTATCTGGGTTCAAACTGTGACAAGATTTCTAGGATTTTACATGTTTTGTTGTCTTTTTCAATATTCTTTGGGACTTAGGTGAATCTGGAGCAGGAGTCCAGGACTAAACTTCTCAAGCTGCTGGGCTACAGTAAAGAGGATCTTCAAAAAAAGGTAAGGGTTCTTTCCAATAGAGAGAAATCTTTACAGCACTAAAGGTGTTGCAGAAGAGTTGTAGGGTCCCTACTGGAAATGAATGATCTCACAGCACACAAAAGACAAAACTGTAGGAAATTTCAGCTGAAAGGCACCTCAAGTATCCCCCATCAAAAAGCCGATGTGGGCACTTTTAAGGGTATAACTGTATCTGTACTGGATCAAACCAAAGGGATCTTGAGCCCAGTTATCTTGCTTCAAGTTGTTGGTGCTTTGGGAAGTGTATAACAGTGCAGTTGTGGGAGCTTCTTCTAGCATCCAGCTCTCTGCATCTCGGGGGATCCCTCAGCCAGGAAGAAGGTGACAGATGAAGACAGTCTGGCATAGCATTGATGGAGCTTCAGGGGAGGAAACTCGTGCAGCAGCATGGACAATGCTCTGAAAAGGATAAATAACCTCTGATAGGCAGCCAGCCAGGAATAGGGAGAGGTGGAACTTTTCAAACAGGTGAAAGAGCTGGGGGAATGGTATCTGGGGCTTGCCAGTCACTTGGTGACTTTGCTGCCCAGGTGTTTAACTTTGATGGGGGCTTCACTCTGTGAATGTCTGTTACTTTTCTAGATTGCATCATGTTTGAGTAATGGGATCCCAGATAAACAACCCATTCTCGAGGCAGATGAGGCAAATGATGCACAACCAGATCAGGTATGTCCTGTACATCTTGCCAATCTAGGAGAGCAGTGAAGGGCAGAATGAACGGGAAGGTTTAATTCCAACCACAAGTTGTTGGGCTCACTGCAGCCATCACAGAGGGCGGTTCACAGGCCTATTGGACTCTCTCAGGTTCAGACTAAACCATCATAGCGGTCCCTTCTGGCTTTAAAACAAATCAGTGAATGATGAGGACTGGCTTTTAACACTGCAGGAAGGCTGGCTTCACCGGTGCTGTTTTCTTCAGTGATAGAATTAGCCCCACCCCAGTTTAACTTCCTGCTGCAGTTTTGAATTTCCTCTGTGAAGCTTCTGCTGTGGTATTTCTTTTGCATTTCTTTCCTTTTCACCTCTATCCTTTGAAATGTATTCTCACATGATTTTGGGATGTCCGTCTTTGGATGCCTTCCAAGGCCTAGTTCACCATGCGCTGTACATTTTGCTTCTCTAAGGTATCTAAAACTGCTATGCTCAAATTACTGGTTTTCTTCACAAAACTTAAACACTTGCTGAGATATTCTAGGGATAGCGGTTATGTCCTGCATTTCAATAGATTTTAATTTTCAATTTCAGTAGCATGGCTGTGACCCTACTTGTTAATTACAGTAATCACTTGTTGGGCTTGTCTCTGTTCCATCCATAATTTTTCAGCTTGCTCAAGGGCTGGCATTTGAGTTGATGAATGCTGGCAGCCAATACTGTTGTCATTGCATGTCTTACACCGTCAGTCTCCTAGGCTTTGTCAGTAGCAGCACTGCACTTGTTGCTGCCCTGGTGAAGCTGTGCAGGTTGATAGAGCCGTGACGGGAGGCATGGTGGGTTTCCAAGTTGAAATCAGATTTATATGAGCATGCTCAACCAAATGGAAAGCAGCCCCATCCCACCTTGTAATCCATTAAATTGTTTTGGACAGGATCTGTGTGTTCAATTAATTAATAAACCTCTTGCACTCTTTGCACAGCTTTTGATAAATTCCAGTGATGATGTAGCTGCTGTTTCCTCCTCTTCAGACTTTTTCGACAACCTCATTCCACAAAATATGAGTACATTGGAGATTCCTGTTACAGAAGGTATGTTACATGAAATGTGTTTGTGCCTTCTTACAAAAAGGAGAAAGGAGGGAAAACCAGAAAATTAGAGAGAGCAGGAAGAATCTGGTCCACTCCAGCACATGGATACTTCTAAAATACATCACCTGTCCCAGTGTCATGCAGCATCTCTCAACATTGTGCAAAAAAAAAGAGCCTTTGCAGATAAGAGACCCATTAAAGAGAAGAGTCTTCTAGATGATGGAAGACTTAATGAGTCAAGTCATTGGGTTTTCTTAAAGTGCAAAACCTGATTTGACTTCCCAAATCTTCTTTTAGCTGGGCTTCCATATATTGTTATTTTTTACTGCCTAGTTTTTAAAATTAGCATGATCAGTGCATCTGGATGGGTGGGTTGACTCTGCTTCTCACCTCTGTAGATACGGATGGACTCATCAGCCAAGCCCTTTTGTTGGGGAATTTTGAGGGTGCAGTGGAGCTGTGCATGCGGGCAGAGCGCTTTGCTGATGCCATCATCTTAGCTATAGCTGGTGGGGAGAACCTCCTAAAGGAGACCCAGAAGCGCTACTTTGCCAAGCATAAGACAAAACTCTCCCAGGTAAGTGACAGTTTTGTGTACCCACTGAGCAGGGGAAGGTGTGCAATATCTTGGCAGATGTTTGCCTGGATATATATGGAAATACTTTGTCAGGAAGTAGGATGTCAGCAGAATCTATGTATCTCCTCTTGGCTAGGCATTTACTCTAATCTCTTGGTTGCCCACCCAGGAGGTCTGTATTCTTTGTTTCTTTTAATCTCCTGCCTCAGCTCCCCATGCTTGTAACCTGTGGCACATACTGCCCTTTTACAGCTTGGCTAGGAAGGTCCTAGCTTACTTAATTGACAAATGGGGAAGTGTAACAGGAGTTGGGATGTCCTAACACTGTGTTCCCAGTCATTGATACTAGCAGCTATGAAGTAGGATATGTGTTAGATAGATCTTTAGTCTTGTATAGTGTGGCTGTTTCCATGTTCTCTTAAGTGCTTTGTTGAACTTTTTTACTTTCTTTAGAGGCATTGGGTTCTAATTACTGTTAACATTGGGATGCTGGGATTGGTAGACCTTAATGTACAGTGAGGTAGTTGCTGCATAGTGGGAAGTGTGCCTGAAGTGTTAGCTATCCCTGTGGGTACACTTGCTTAAGCACTCGGCTTATCTTTGTCTTCCTTGACTGAGAGGCCTTCTGCTTCCCTTACAGCTGCTTTCCTCCATTGTGCAGCAGAAATGGCAAGATATTGTTTGCACATGTGATCTACAGAGCTGGAAGGAGGCACTGGCCATCTTGTTAACATACTCAAAGCATGAAGATTATACTCAGCTTTGTGGTATGCAGTGTACTATATTTTGATACTATTTTCCTTAGGGGAGGGCAACTCTGGACTGCTCACAGAAAAGCATGGATACTGCTGAGGAAGGAAAGCACTCGTTACAGCTAGCTGGAACGTTAAGTGTGGATTGTCAAGTTGCGAGAATGATATATGTACACTGTAGTTGAGAGTCATGGTGTAAAGTTATATATGCTGATATTTCCTGTCACCTCTACCAGTAGCATGGAAAAAAATTAGGATAGGCACTAGACTGAGACACTAAGAGGGCGATATTTATTATTTTACTCTGGGAAGAAAAGGATTTCCTTGACAGTAAAAAGTCAGGTGGCTTCACTCCGTCTGAAAGAAGATTACCATTTCAACACATCCCTTTTTAAGCTCAGAAACAGGGATTAATGAGTGTTTGATGGCTTCAGTAGTTTCCTCAGTCCTGTTAATAGTCCAACATACCCAGCAACTGGTTGTTCTGAGAGTCAGAGTTAGGAGACAATCTAGTGACTGAATCTGATGAAGTTACTCATGTTGCTTAGCTGGGAATTAACTCCTGGCTAATGGGAACAGGTTGGCGCTGTTGGAGAAATGCGGGCACTTTGTACAAGTAAGATAACACAACTTGAAATGAAAGAAAATACAATGTCTTTTACAAACCAAATTGTAACAGTGCAAAGTGGCAGTGATGATAGTGATGTAGCTCCAGCTCATCTTTATCTCCTGGCATTTGCTAAACATTGACAATTACCGTATTACTAGCTGTCCTTGGTACTGGACACTGCTGTTGCCTAGAGATTCCCACACCTCTTTGGAAAAAAAAGCATTGTATTTTGTCATTGAATTAATCTGTCATTTTAAAGGGTTTTTCTTCCTTTTGTGTGCCTGGGCAGCTGTATAAAAATTGACTGTAGGGTTGCTAAGAGATGAGCATTGGGGTTAATGAGCTCTTCGGAAAGAGAGTCTGTTAAATGTTGTCTGTATTTCTTCCTCTCTAGACATGCTGGGTGCCCGCCTAGAGTCAGAAGGAGATGCAGCCCTGTCCAATGATGCCTGCCTCTGCTATATCTCATCAGGCAATGTGGAGAGGTTGGTGGAATGCTGGGTGAAAAACCATGAGACTTCATCACCCCTTGCCCTGCAGGTACGGGTGCTATAATGTTGGTTTGACTCCTCTTTAGGCCAGTCTGGTAGCCCTGCTCTGTTTATATTATCCCATCAGAGTATCTGGCTTCCTGCAGACAGTGCAAACCTGTTGGTAGTTACCAGGGTATCTCCTTCTAGCCTGAATTACAGGCTTACATCTAAAGGAGATTTGCACTCTTAAACTTCAAGGATTTTTGTGTTTAGAGAGTACTGATTACATTGCATATAAATCCAGCCATGGACAGGAGTTACAGCCTACCTGCCTGTCTTTGTATACTGATGTAATCTCTGAACTTCCTTTTAGTCAAGGAAATTTAGATTGTACCTGTTTTCTTACTGGCAGTTGACTGGGAGTACATTTGCTGCTATGCTCGTCTTGTTTAACTGTAATGCTCCAGTGATCTGGCTCAACCTTCAGAACAGCTTCTGGCAAAATAAAATAAAGTCTAGATTGCATTATTCCCACTGCAAGCATAATGATCGTGTATAGGAGGTTACAGCTTGCAGATGAATCAGGGCTTCTAAGTCAGTGTTGTTATCTACTTGTTGCACTTAAACCAGTCCTGGCTGAGTCAGTAGCTCCTGTTGTGTTCACCAGTTGCTAGAATGAACTAGACAAGTCTTCTGCTCAGATACCTGCAGGTAATGCCCTCTGCTACAAAGTTCCTTGGTTTTGCAACCCCACTAGTGCATAACAGAAACAAAAAGGCATCTTCCATACCTGGTTATGTTTGAAACTGATCTCCCAGTTACGTTATCAGCCAATGATGCATATATCATTCTACAGATATAAACATTATTTTGATTTCTAAGAGTTGAAGGAGGTTTGAATAACTAAAAACCTCTGGTCTGTTTGCCAGCAGCAGTAGTTTTTTGTAGTGAATTTCTCTTGCTATGGTTTTAATCTTTCCTCTTCCAAGCTGATAGCTTGTAACTCCTAGAGTTACAGTAGTTACTTCTTAGTAAAAATATCACAGTTGATTGGAATGTCCTTGTGGCTTCTGATTTTCTTTTTTCCCTTACCATAAAAGTAGCAGTGTTGGGGTTTGCTTCCTGGTTCCTGTTTTTCTCCACAAAGTTCACCTGATGAAACGGTAATCAGTGGTGGTATCTGGTGCAGAGTGAAGTAACTTCTGTTCACATTGGACCCAACATCAGTTGAAAGTGGGGAAAGCCATCTGGTATTGTCTCAGTATGAGATGGACCAGTAAAGCAAGTCAGTTTCTGAGAGATCTGTTTCTTCCCTCCGCCTGGTTTATTCAGGATCTCATAGAGAAGGTGATGGTGCTGAGCAGGTCCACTGAGATGCTCCGAGGCACAGCAGGACCAGCACCAGGCCCTGTCTTGGCAGAACGAATCGCCCAATATGCCAGTCTCCTGGCATCACAAGGATGCTTGTCAGCCGCAATGAATTATCTACCCAGCAGCTCTAAAGAGGTGAGCGAGAAATTAGTTCTTGCAGGAAAGAGTGGTATATGGGGAAAAAGGATACTTGGTACAAAAGAGAGCTTAGGTTTTGACATGCATCAGGTCTCAAGGTTTCAGCTGAATTACGGTAACTTGAGGGTAGAAGTATGTTTGGTTTTTTATTTTTTTTCTGTAGGACACAGTTTTTGTCTTCATTTGCTTTTTTCTTTTTAGTGCCTTTGATTCAGGAAAAAGGAAGGGAGATATAGAACTGTAAAATGGTTCCTGGAGAATGACGCTGCAAATGAGCTCTGCAGGGAAGCTGCATCTGTGCCTAAAACTAGCTCGTAGAGGAAAGGAATGGGGAGGTCAATTTATAGTTTGAAACAAATCTGTCTAGTGCCTAAATGTGGGTAGGGGTTGGGGAGGGAAAAGTCTAAAGATTGGAGGAAGGATCAGTGAGACTTCATCTGCCTGGGAATGTGGCAGGTGATGTCCCAGATTGTCTCTTACGTGTTTTAGTGTTGGTTTTTTTTCCTGGTGGCTACTGGGGAAGTGGTTAGTTTTGCAGGTCAATGCTCAGTGCTTTGTGTCAGGATCTGCTTTGAGTGCTTCCACAGCACCTTCCATCTGAGGGTCTCAAGGCACTTCTAAAGCATAGTTTGTTCCAGCTCCTCATCAAACAGCTCCGAGACCGACTTTTCCATGCTCAAGGAGAGAATGCAGGGGATCAGCAACCCCCCCCTTTTCCCTGCACTCGTGTCAATGTTGGTGTCGTTAAACACACATCTCCAGCAGCCAAGGGTGGTTCTGCCCCTGAAGGAGCCGCCCACAAAACAGGTGCCAGACATCCAGAGAAGGTAGGCCTTAACTCAGGTGTTCATGGATTGGGGAGAGGGAGGAAGGCTACTGGGTTGTGGAAAGTATATGAAGTAATATGAGAGAATGTCGACTGCAGGCACTGAGGAACCATCAGTGATGTCTTTCACTGGAGCAAACACAAGCTCTGTGATAATCCACAAGTAGGCTGCCTGACATCTTTTCTGAAAGCCCTGTCCCAAATGCAGTCACTGGAGGAGACTGTTGCAAGTGTAGTGATCCACCAAGATCTTACTGAGGTAAAAGGGGACTGTGGTTCACTCTCCTATACCCATCTCACCATCATATCTCAGGAAAATTAGAGGCTTAATCTCAGTTCTTGGATGAGAAAACTATTCAGGAAGTTTTGCTTCCAGCCTCTATTACTTTATTATTATTCCATCACTATTTTATCTGGTTGTGCTTCCAGGAAGTCACTGTGTGGGAACTGGCTCCTGAGGACTAATCCTTGTGAGAGCTGAAGAATAGTCCAGGGACTGTGGTGCCCAGTTTGTTGAGCAATTTATGTGGTGGGAAAGGCCTTTGACCCAATCAATCCAGGACACTGAGAGCAGTAGCATCTTCTCTTGTCTGAGAAGTGACAGGGATAGAAAGTGCTTGTGTGTGTATGCGCGTGACTGTTGGCTGTTTGCAAGTTCTTTGTTTTTTAATTGCAGCCCAACTATCAGTCATCATTTGCCCCTTCAGCACCTTCTCAGCCTTCAGTGCCTTCCCACTTCATGCCTCAGCCAGTGCCAGCGATGTCTGTAACACCTCACCATCTTGCCCCTCCTCAGGGCAGCACAGGTCCACAAACAAGTGTCTATTCCAGAGGGCCTGTGTACCCACAGTACAACTTGGGCTTGGTTCCAGCAACTGTTTCAGGGCCAGGTAAGCATTGTGGTAGTCATGTCCGTTATCCAGGTTTTCTTAGACTAAAGTCTTCAACATGGATGGCTGGTCTACTTTCTTCCTCACAGGCCTATTGTACTTGCAAAGGATAAGTCATCTGTGTGAGAGACTTCTCAGTGCTTCTGAAACATCTAGCTCTAGCAACTGTTGCTGTGTGTCCACTGATATTAAGCATATATACAGAGTTGGAGAAGCCACAGCTAATTTTGTGGCAGAGTTTGACTGATGTGACCTGGGTTATGGGGAGTACTCCTGGCATGGAGATTCTAGGGTAAGGCTTGGAGAAGGGCAGACTTACTAGCGTGAAGGAGAGCATCAGGAGTAGTTTACACATGAAGCAAGGGATGCTGATACACTCTTTCTCATTTGTAGCTGTGTCACACTCTCAGCCATTCGGACCAGTGGGAGTCAGACCTGTTGGTCCTGCTCCCTTCCCCAGCCAGCCTTCTCTGCCAGGACAGTCCATGTCCATGACATCTCCTGGTGTTCTACCACCTGGACCCTCCCTCTTCACTCCAGCCTCAGTCCCATCATCTCAGCTTCCTGCAGCTTGTCCTCTCCCTGTGGCAAGCCAGTCTCCTCTAGGCTTCTCTTCAGCACCTTTCAACTGCCCCATGAACGTGGGTTACCCTCAAGGAGGTCCTGGAGCTCCATCTACTAAGCCCCTGCCAGCAGCCAGCATTCCTCCTCCTCCCACAGGTAAGTACAGCTTGTGTGACTTGTGTGTCCAGGACGCTCCTGGATGGTGTTTGCAGTACATAATGGACATGAACCTTCTGTCACCATAAAGGCTGGATGTGTTGCTGAGTCTAACCTTACAGGCACATTGTGCTGAGTCTTGCTGTGATGGTGATACACAGCAATGATAACAGTTTAATTCAGCCTGTTCAACGGTTCTGTCCCTCAGGTTGTAGATACAAATGCTGTCTCTTCTGGTCCCCGGTGCACCCTAAGTAGTCAACCACTCCCGAGGCATCTGCTCTGACTGAAAGGGTGGTGGTTCACAGGGAATGCCTGGTGGAAGGCTTGCTGATCTCGCCCTGCTTATGTAACTTACACAAGAAGAGCATCTGAAATGCTGGGAGGGCAGGGTGCTGCTTCTCTGTCCATGGGATATCCCTTGCTTAGCCTCAGGTTAAAAGTCCTCTGTCTGTTGTTCTCTACTTCTCCCCATTTTCTCCTGTTTCCATAAAGTGCTTGCTTGGGAATCACTTCTGGGTTCCTCTGTGCAGTGCTCTAGACCTGGAGCCTTTCCTGTCTGGGTCTACAGTTTGAATCCAGCCCAGGCTACAAGTACTGTGAAGTCCTTGTGCTGTTGGACCTAGTTCCCAATGGATGGGTATTCCCTCTTTCTATTTCTCACATCACCACATCTGGTGCTTGTTAATTCTTTGCTGTCTCATGGGACACGTTTATCCAGGCTGTGGAGATCCCTAACAACAAGGCTGACAATCCTTAGATTTTTGAGCAGATGCTTCTCCAAGCCCTGTGTATACCTGAGAGTGAAGGAACTGAGGCTTTGAGGTTTGCCTGCACCTGGAATCCTTTGCTGAGCTGTGTTTAACCAAGGGCAGCAAATCCCCCTGTGTGAAGCCTGTGGGAACTACACACAAAGGCTCTAAGCTAAGGCTGGACAAATTCCTTCTGAAATGCTATCAGAGATAGTAGTCCAGGGACATTACTCACTGAGTAAAAGGTGTTGGTGATGATGACTCTCCCACCCTGCCTTGATTTTCAGGTTTCTTCCCTTGGCTAGATCCCCACGTGGATCATGCAGGTAGTACCCAGAGAAGCCTCCAGACCTGTGGGGGAGGCAATGTTACTGCTTCCAGTGAAATGTGGGGTGTGTGTGTGCACATGTTATTGTGTGTGCATGTGTGCATGCTCACTGCTGTTTGTTGTTTCCTTGCATGCCTGGGGAGCTATACAGCTGGTGTTGTGGACATATTTGTCCTTAGGACTAGTAAGTGACAGCTGGGGATGTTGGAAGTGAAATTAAAGCACTGTGCTCTTACTGATGAGTTTGGGTACAGAAAGCAGGGGCTCCAGCTTCCTTCTCTGCTTTCCTCTGGTCCTGGAGGAATTAAAGCATTCTCAGTCTCTCTCCATTCAGGCAGCTGCTGGGCCAGCAGGACAGGAAAGCAGCCCCTTTTCCTTTCTTGGTTCTCTAAGCAAGGAACAGGACAGTGGTTGTAACTTATCTCTTTTTTTCTCTCTGTTACATTCCCCGTCTTATGCATGGCTTTACTTGTGGTTCCCAGCCTGAGCAGAGGTGGAGTAGTGCTTCCCAAGCAGAATTTGGGGGCTCTATTCCAAGGGGAGCTGGAAAGCCCTTTTGGCTTTAGTTACAGCGCATGGTTTGGCTTTGAGTATCAGCACATCTGCTGGGAAGAATCTGGACCATCATTTTCTGAATGATGCTTTGTACTGGTTTTTCTTAGGATTCATTGATGATAGAGAGTAGGTATCTTCCAGTCTACATTGTTGGTGGGGTAAGGCTCAATGTCTTAGGGGGCTGTCTGCAGTGACTGCTGCCTACACCAAAGACCATTTGTCAGGCACAAAAGATTATCTAGGGAGTCTCAGCTTTATTTAGGAAATCCGAGTACTCGGTAGCCACTTACGCCACCAAGGAAGCCTTGCTGTGTGGAGTGGGACTCTAGAGAGGGAGTTGTCCCTTCAGCAGAGAAACAAAAGTCTCAGGCTGAATATGCCCTGCAGGAATTCACTGCTGGTAAGTTCCCATCTCCTAGCAGCATTTACCCCCAGTTTTAATGCCAGCATATGGCATGTGCAGATCAGCAGTGCAGACTGGCTTCCTTGACAGTGCTTTCTTCCCTGCTATTGTTATTCTGGTTTTGATGGGTACTTTTATTTATCCTGGAAAGGGACTGTAAGATCACTCAATATGACCGGCTAAATTTGCTTGCTTTGGAAATTCCTGAACATGACCTGACCAGCTCATGAACACATTCTTGCTAGCGCAGTGAAGAGAGATCTCCACTTGTAGAAATCCCATGCTCCTGGGGAGCGTTAGGGACGGGGTGAAAGACAGCAACATGTTGGCTCATCTCCTTTCTGGCTGGGATAATCCCTGACTCCAGCCTGTGATGGTCTTGCTTTTTCTAGGACAGGCATTGCTAGAGACCACTGCTGTGGGGCACTCCTTTCAGGGTTGGTAAGAAATCCTCTTTCACAAATAGCACAAACAAGATAGTCAGAGTTTCATCCCAGCAAAATACAGCAGGGTCCTGTTGTCTCATGTCTTATGATTACGAGCCTAGCTTAAAGACTAAAATTTAAATAGTTGTTTCCTGTGAGGATTTGAAGTGCCACTGGGTTGGAATAGTGCCAGGGACTGCTAGGCCACAGGCTCAGTGGGGGCCAGCAGAATTCTAGGGCACAGAATCCCCAAGCTAGAAGTAAGTGCCAACTTAATTAAACTACTGATCCAAACTCATCAGAGAGTGAGTCTTGAAATCATGGTAAAAGGGAGGGCAAAAAGAGGCTGCCAGAATTTTAATAATAAAGGTAATTAAAGTAATGAAGCACCTTTTGCATCTTTCGTCTGTGATTTTTAAAGCTCAGTTCAGGATCAGTGGCTCATTAAGTGCAGCACTGAGCTCCAGCAATTCTGATACTGCCCCTTAGAATTATGCCACTTTCTCACAGATTATTCCTGTCTCATGAGCTTGAGGTTATTAATACTGGGGTGATAAAAGCAGACAAAACCGCAGTGTTTGAGATGCAGGTACTCTTACAGGACAGCAGCAGACCAGGTAGTTGGAATTTGACCTTCACAGAATGAAGTGTGGTCACAAGTCTTTTGATGTCATGTTGTCTGATAGATTTTTAATTACCTGGAGTGAGGTTAGAGGCTAGGTACCACAGAAGCATCTGCTGAGACACCCTCTGCTCCAAAGGCATTTACTGATTAAGTCTGTTCCCTTCTAGTGGGGAAGCCAGCAAATTTTGCTAAGCTTTGGTTCTGAACATGATTTTGGAAGGGGAAAATTTCAACCCATCCCTAACTTCCCCCTTTATCACAGCAACCTGCATTGCTGTGGACTGCCATAGTGAGGCACGCCTGCAGGTGTTGGTGAGAAGCCCTCTCTCACCCTTAACATAGCCCTCAGTATGGTAACGCATTACTAGGTTCTCTGAAGAACCCCAGGAACTTCCTGAACCCTGATGTGCACGCACATATGCAGGTCCTGACCAAGGTTTGGGCCTGACTCTGAGGCTGACTTCTGTAGCCTCTGCAGAATGAGGAAAGCTTCAGCTAGTTGTGAAAAAATTTATGGGGGAGTGGGGGTGTGCCAGTTCGATCTAATCAAACATCACCTCATGAAGCCTGTGCACGTACTCGGATGCTAAGAATGTAATTAAGAAAGAGAAAGGGAAGCAAGAGTGGTTCTTGGGCCCATGATCTGGGCCTGAAATTCTTCAGTTGAAATGGTCTGAAGGTTCAGTGAAGGGGAAATTGGAACCATGGGCCCTTTTGCTGAGGAAAGTTCCAAACCATGCAAGCAACAATTAATTGTTTCTGTGACTGCCTTCTCAAAGTCTGACATTTGTGTCTTGTTCTCTTTCCTGGCAGCTCAAGAATCTTGGACTGATCCTTCTGCTGCAAGAGGAGGCCTTCAAAAGAAAAAGGTAAGCTTTCAGCTGCAATATGTGTTGGTTGCCTTTTCACCAGGGAGCTCCATGCAACAGATACATTCCTATAAATGCTCCCTGTCGCACTCAGCAGGTCTCATTCCATGTTGGTCTGTCTATTTCTGCATTACATGCATAGCTAGAACTGGAGTCTAAGTCATCCTGACCCTTTGGCATCCAAATTCTCATGTTGTTCTCCAAGGCTGTTGTTTTGTAACATATTTATCATCTGTGATGCTGCATCCTCTGTCAGTACTTCCCAGGCTGACTACAGTGACTTGTTGCTCGAAATACAGATTTAGTCTTATTCCCTTGCCTACACACCTTTTTTCATAGTGCTGGGGAGATATTGCTCACTTCGCAGCAGACGGCTGGGGGCAGCATTTCCCCTCAGCACAGTGAGACCCACAGTGGTTTGCTTCAGATGCTGTTACCAACTGGTAAGGTACTTCTGCTGAAAGAAGTTGGGACAGGTGTAGCTGTGAGCTGCCTGCCATGTTAGCCCTGCTGCTCTCTGCCTTGTAGTGATTGCACTGGAGGACCTGCGAGCTGAGCTCTTTTGCAGCAAATGCTCTCAATACCCCATTTCTATCACTGCTGCCTGCTGGCAGGTGTGACAAGAAGCTGCTTTGGCACCATTCCCACCCCCCACTCCTCTTCTTTAGTTTGGAACAGACTTCTCGCCCTTTTTCTGGCAGCATAGCTGGGAACCTGCTTCAGCCTGTGCTTAGTACAACAGGATTAGCCTCTTGTTAAAGGCATCTCCTTTTGATCTAGTCCTGTCGGAGAGAATGTATCCTGACTCTCTGGCTTAGCAGGAGCACGATGAAGTGTTTGCAAGAGGATTCTCCCCCAGTGTCGTGGGATTTTCCCCAACACTTGCTCTGTTGGACACTTTACTGCTGCTAATCTCTACATTCAGGACTCGTGCCATCGCAGAGCCAAGGCAGCTTTCTGAGGACCAGAGCAACGGAGCCAGGGGCAACGGATCTATTTGGTTGAACAATTACAGAGTAGTTTTCTTCCTGTCGCTTTGACTGTTCATCTAGGATGCAAGAGGAAGGGCCCCATGCTCTGAGCCAGGGGGCTGAAAGAACAGGGATGTGTTACACATCATCTTGAGAACTGGGCACTCTGCAAGTTAGAAAGGAAGTTGAATTTAACTGCAGAGAGTGTAACCAGCTCTCCTTCTTGGGACTTGGTTTGCTTGATTTTTTTTTTCTTTCTTTTTACTGACAGTTGCCTGAGAAATTTACTCCTCCAGCCCCCATCACAGCTCCAGTAATGAGCCTGCCCACTGAGCCCCAAGGGATCCATCCTCAGCTGTCCAGGTTGCAAGAATCTGGCCAGTCACCCCCAGGAGCACCTAAGGAAGGCAGCCTGCAGGTACTTAGGGAAAGTGGGGTGTTCCCCAGCCACCAGCTCCTTGTCAAGTAGAAAAACAGCTAAGCTTTTGAGATGCTTCTTACTTGGCAGCTGCAGGGCTTATGTTGCTCCCTAGCACATATAAGATATCTCTGCCTGAGTGTTAGAGAAATTGCCAGGGTGGAAAATGATACCTGGGTGTGGCTGAGAGAGAAAGGAGGGAGGCCAGGCAGGCTGTCAGCCTGCTTGGAGTTGGGAATCCACAGAGGCCTGAAGTATTCCACAGTCTGAAGATCATAATTTAACTCTGTGCTTCTAGGTATTCTCTGTTTGTGAAGGGGTAAAATTTTCTTTGTTCATAGTTGCAGGAGGGGAATCCACCTTCTTTTCATGGTCCTGTTGCATTTATTCATCTGCTTCTCTCTGTCAGTATCACCAGCTACCCGTGGAGAGGGTTGAGAGAAAGGAGGTGCCCCCTGAGCACCAGGTTCTGAAGACAACATTTGAAGGGTTGGTGCAACGCTGCTCTGCTGTCGCCACTGATCCGGTAAGTCATCCATTCTCTGATCTTTAGCTTTTTTACCCTCATAGATGTTTGACTGGTGCTTCCTTTTGGTTGGGAAAAGAGAGGAAGAGTCTTGTCCCTGTAACCAAGTTAATCTCTATCTGCCTACTTCCTTTAGGCTGTAGGCTTGTCCGTCTCTTGAGAACTGAGATGCATCCTTTAGCATTTATCCACTGCTTCTCATTGCCTCCCTGGAGCAGTGGTTCTTTCCTCTGAGGAAAGTAGAAGAAATGACCCAACTAATTCAGCTTCCTTTTTCACTGGCTTGATCTGTAGAGAGTTCCCACAGAGCTGGTATTACCTGCTGTCCTCAGAGCTTAGAGGGAAAGGCTGAGATATCCTGGCTGGAAGAGAAAGCCAGCAATCTTGGTGTCTGAGTCCTGAGTCACTGTGATTTCTACATGCTTGTTCCTGGAGGGCTGTTGGCATACATGTCATGTTGTGTGAACGTATCAGGCCAGACTGTCTGGAAGCAGAAAAGCAGTGTTTGCAGCATCGTGTTAGGTTGCTACGTCTTCCAAGAGCTTCAGGGCACCATGAAGCCTTCCAGAATACCTCTGCTTAGTGGGTCTTGGGAGGAGCACTGAGCCCGAACTGCTCCCAGAGTCAGACAATTTGTGTGTAGCAGCAGCTTCAGCATGTGTTCTCCATGCTTTCTGAGAGTGCAGTGTAGCAATTTCTGGGAGATAATCTAAAGGTTCCCTCTATGGACAGAAAAGCCTGTTAGTTTAGGCTTAAGCACTTGGCTTACATGGAGATTGAATAGCTGGGTTGGTACAGCAATGCAATGTACCTGAGCTCCTGAGGCTGCCAGGCATGTCCCAGAGTTGCCCAGAGCCAGGCATTTCTATCCACAGTATAATTAACCTGTGAGTGGATTGTCCAAGGTGGATTTAATGGGGTCAGTCCCACCAGAGCTTCAGTACTGAGGCCCTTTCCTTGGTAGTTACCTAGACTGGGAAGGATATTTCCCTATTTTCCCCAAGGAGACCAGCAAGAAGCTGTTGCTTCGGTCAGCCAGGGTGAGGCTGTCTGAATGCCCTGTGGGTCAACTAGTGGATGTCTCTCAAGCTTTGGAAGTAGTTGCTCTGTCCTGTGGTCTGCGAGCATTGCCAGAAGGGAGTAATGCCTAGATGGGGAGATGGGAAAAGGGGCAAATCCAGCATCCTGTCTTGGGGAGAGAATGTGTACACGTGTATGTGCGTGGTGAGGGTACGGCCGGCTTGTGTCACCGTCATTGTTTGGCAGTGGCTGAGATGCAGCTGAGTTGTTCGTAAGGTACTATGGGAAGAACACAAGAGGGGAGGGACTGAGTGAGAACAACTTGGTTCTGGGAGAGGTGGGTTTGAAGCTCTGGTAGAGCTAACAATACCTGTTTCACTTCAGAAAACCCGAAGAAAGCTGGAGGATGCATTGCAGCGGCTGGAGTGTTTGTATGAGAAGCTCCGTGAACAAGCGGTAGGTAGATGCCACCATTCCCTGTGCTCCAGACAGGTTCCTGATCCCACCTTTGCACTGAGTTGTGGGCCTTGGTGCCCATCCCAGTGTTTCAAGCACTTATCCTCTTGAAAAAGCTAGGGGAGTGCGAAACCTTGTATGCACCTTGAACCCAGCCAGCTTTATCTCTTCCTTCTTAACCCTGCCCAGACATTGTGTAAGAAAAAGCTGGGGAGGTTATTAGCAGGGTGCTTTTACCCCCAGGAAGTATACTGGCATATAGACAGGTTCCAGATAGGAAGGGGCAATTGGGGGTAGTTGTTAGGTGTGAACCTAATGTAACCTCTGGCTTAGAAAACTCTGAAGTTGCTGATTCCAGTTGCTGGAGGGATAGCTATCAAGGGAAGAATAGTTTTAACATACACCCTTTCCTTGAGTGTCCATATTAGGCCTGAACAGAGACAGGATTCTGTACCAGATGGACCTTTAACCTCCTCAGGTACATCAGATATTCAGTTAATGCTGAAATGACATTACTTAGGACCTGCATTCACTGTAACCCAGCCTGGGCATTACATTAATGTTTGTTGTTGGCTGGGAAACTGGGAGAGGAAGCAGACTGTCCTTCCTGCCAGTGCTTGACTGTGTAGGTGCTGTTTGGTGAGGATGAGGTGGAGAACAGGAAGGAAGGGTGTGGAGGGAGGGGGGGCCTATATTACAGTGCTGAGCACTGAGCACCCTGACTCATTTCTTCTCCCTCCCCACAGCTCTCTCCAACCATCCTCATGGGCCTTCACGAAATTGCCCGCTGCATTGAGGCTAGGAACTACCAACAGGGTCTCCTGTTTCACACCCAAGTGGTGAGCAGCAGCAGTTTCAGTGAGGTGTCTGGTTTCATGCCCATCCTGAAAGTCCTCATGACTGTTGCTGGCAAGCTGAATGTGTAAAGTGTGGAGCAGCTGCAACAGTGCACCCTGAGAGCTGATGGACTCCCTCACCTGTTGATGTGCTGCAAGTTGTGGACTTCTCTTCTGATCTGGAGAAATAAGTCTGTGCCAGTGCCTGAAATAGTGCTGGGCCAGCACACCTGGCCCCATCCACTCTCCAGACAGCCCACTGGTGCCTGCGACTCCTGAAGACTGTTCTTTCTCTCTCTTCTTTCACCCTAGTCTGAGGCTGCTTCCCAGCCAAGGGATCTCAATTTCAGGCTGTCCAGGTTACCCAGAGATCCTCCCTCTTCCCTGTTCCCCATGCACAAAGGGTAAACTCCTTCCCTCCCAGGCTAATGTTGCAATGTTGCCTTTTTTTTTTAAGAGACAAACAGGGCTGGCACCTGCAGCACCACCAGACACAAGAGCCTCAGGCTCTATTCTGTGCTGCGGTGTAAACTGCCCGAGTGACAGCTGGGCTCCTTTGGGATCTAAGCTGGGGTGTTCCTGCTCTGTTGGGCTGCAGTTAAGGATCTCTCCTCTGGTTCCTCCTTAACTCACCCTCTCACCCCTCTGCACCCATTTTGTGCTACAACTAGGGCTAACTACCAATGTGCTCTGGGCTGGCTTTGGTTTTCTCTCTCTTCTTCATGCAGCCCTCTCTTTTCATACTCAAGTCTCCTGTTTACCCTCTCTCCCCCCTCCTTTATATCTTTTCCCCCATAAGCTGCAGGCTTGAGCCCTTTATGTTTTGGGCCCAAGGCTGATTCCCCCTTCCACCTCTTGGGACTCTCCCATTCAGGAATGCTGGCAGGTTGAACTGCTCAGTGCGCTCCTCCCCAGAGCCAGTTGCATCCTGTGTTTGGGCTAAAAGCCGCACTCTCTGGCTCCTGGCCTTTTTTACTTCTTTTATTTTAGCACAGTTGGCGTTTTGCCCACTGGTGTTATCTAAAGGCTTCCTATATCGGGCTTTTCAGACAGTCTAGGGGCTTTAAGAGCAGCAGGCATTGTTCAGGTCCCATAAAGAATCCCCTTAAGCTACTCTGACCAGCCCAGACTTGAGCAGGGGGTGACAGCTTATTGCTCCAAGTGTGGTGCATTCGTTCTACCTACAGTAACAGACGCCTCCAAAAGTGATTCTCAAAGGCCCCTTGGCACTATGGTGGTGGGACTGTGCTGCTGGAGGTGATGCTGTCAGGTCCTGAGGATATGGCTGTGCTGAGGTTTTTCATCGCTGTGACATTTCCTCTAGGGTAAAATAGATGAATGAAGCATATATGTCCTGGGGAAGAAATCTGTGAAGGCAGATGGGATTTTAGGGCACATCTGTGTGTGTGTCTTTCCCTCTCTTCCTCCCTCCTTTCCTTCCTCTCTCTCACTCTCTTTCATGCTAACCAGGCAGTGTAATTCTTAGGCCCTAGCTGGGAGCAAGGCTTCTTCCCAATGTTTGGCTGCAGCCAGCCCCTGCTTCCTCTGCTTGCTGTTTGAGTGACAGTGCCATCGTGGGCCTGTGGTTCAGTAACTTAGGTAAATCAGCCTGCTCTACCATGAGACTTAGGAGGGAGGGGAATTGGGGAAGGGAGGGAAGGAACACATCTCATTTTCTCTTTTCCAGGTCAAAGTGCCTCCTTGTTGCTGCTGTGTTGTTTCTATTGCTGCAATTTGATGCACTGAGAAATTACAGAACAGTGAAATAAAAGCTGTGTTTTGTGATGGTGCTAGCTTTTTTCATAGGCTTTTCACCTCTGGCTACTGGGGACTTCCCTCAGTCTGCTGGGCCACCCACTGAGAGCTGAGTTCTCAGCTTTGGTGAGGAGGGGAATTGAGAACGGTGTGGGGCAAAACAGATTCTGGGCTCTGCTGTTGTGGGCAGCAACCGACCTGGTGTGGTAAGACCTCAGGCCTTACCCACTTCCCAGGGCTGCAGGGTTAGAAAATTGATCTCCAGATCACCCGCCTCAGTTGTGACTGTTCGTCTGCATCAGACACAAGAAGGTCCCTGGGATAGCTGAGATTCCCTCAGGGAATCACAGCTGTGTTGGGGATTTTACGCTTGACATTGGAAATTGAAAGTATGTCAGTAAGTAAACAGAGACCCCTTGATGAGATCCTTTCCTGTTGGAAATCAGTGTTATACCACTTAAACTAGGATGAGGATATGATCTCCTTTGTGGAAATCAGATTTATACCACTGAATTGTCAGTTCTAACCATTAGTTAATAACTTTTGAATTTGTTGGCTGATTGCTTTTAAGCACATAGGAAGGCTGAAGTGAAACATGGGTACTGAGGTAAGGTGGAAGGGGAATCAAACTAGCTTCTGCAAAAAGACTGTGCAGGCCAAGTAGTCAGCACACATGAAATTATGAAATATGCAGGGCTGTATTACCTGGCTTGTGGTTGGAGGACTTGGGAGGAAGTAAAGGTTGAGAAAGATGGTTGGATGGGGAAGATTTGAAGGGCCGTTGCTGGAAGGGACCAGGGTTTATGAGGGTTTTGGGTGGTTTTGGACACAGCACACGCATTCAGGGAAAACCAGCCTTTGTTAGTTCTGCTGCTCACAGAGGCAAACATCAAGTGTAAGGGAGTCTTGCAGAGCTTTTGCAGCCTGGTCTGGGAACAGTTAGCAACCAGTCTGGTTTCCCAGCTGTCCCCCATCAGGGAGATGCTGATTTTCAAAGTGAGCACTTGTGTTATGACCCCTTCTGATGCTGAACATGTGCGCAGGTAGCCCTGGAGGCATACATTTGCTTAACAAGTATATAAGGAAAATCCTAGCTTTCTGAGGTCATTTATCAAGCCTGGTATTTCTTAGTTTCTGCCTTTTTGGATCCAGTTATAGTACGCTGTGCAGTCTAGCCCCTCTTTTTTTTAACTCAGGCCACTTTCACAACTGAGAAATAAGTACAGATTTTCCATGTATTTCTCAGATGGGTTTGACTTTAGTTACCTCCAGCATGCACTGCTCCTGCTACCCATGGACTCATGCAGACACTGGCTATTTATCCTGCCTTTGCTACAAGTCCTTCCTGCTTGCCCCTTTGTCCCATTGCTGCCCAGTTTTCCTTCAAGCTTACCCCAGTGAGCACCATCCCTGAAATTCTGGATAGGGAAAGCAGGCAGGGGGAGTGAGATGACCCACTCAAGGGTCTTTGGGAGGCTTGTGGCAGTAGCCCTATCTCTGTGGCCCCGATGTGGTATATGTCTTTGCAGACCCCACTGCGGTATATGTCCTTGCAGACCCCGCTGCAAAGCACTTCTCCATTCACAACACTCTCTCTGCTGGCTGGTAACAGCTTCTGGTCTACTGGCAGCGGCTGCTTGGTGTCTCCTCCTCCCATCTGGGCACATGCTCCCACAGCATCCCTGCACTGCTTGCTTGACAGAGAAAGTGATTTCTGTTGGGTGAGAAGGCCCTTGGGTTGACAAAGAATTGGGGTGGGGGTCGGGGGGGGGATGGGCAGTAGGAAAGGATCCCTGGGCACAGAGAACAGAGCTCTAATCCTGTTGCAGATAACATCATGTCTGCAGGCTAGGCTTGTGTGTGTTTGGGGGAGTTGGAGGGGCAGAGATTGTTAGGCAGTATTTGTTTGTAAAGCCACTTGCTCTGAAGATAATGCTTGCACTAACTTCTATTGAGGGAGCAGTGTGAGTCCCCACAAAGTCCTTTCCCAAAGTGTCTTTGAAGCCAAGAACCCATTGAAAGGAAGAAAGGCCAAGAGAGGGGATTAGTTTGTTCAGCAGCTGTGAATTTCAGTGGGAGGCTGATGAACTCCAAAGTCTTTGTTGAGATTTTTTTTGTAAGGAGCCCTGCTGGAGGGAGAGACCCACACGGGGGCCGCGGCCTTAGACAAGAAGGAATCCGAAGCGGCAGGGAGCTGTAAACGGGCCACAAGGACTTTTCCCAAACACTTTTCGGAAAAGGTGTTGTGAAGAGAGAGGAGGGGGATTAGCATGTGAAATGGCACTTTCCATTGACTCCACAGAGGGGAGGGGAAAAGGGCTGGCTGGCTGATTTATTAGCATTTTGTTCCCTTCTCTATTCTGCTCCCCCAGCAGCCCCCCTTCCCTTGCTCCCCTCCTCCCTGAGCCCACTAAAGAGGTTTGGATTGGAAAAGGGAGCGGGGGCTGCCTGTTTTTGTGTCATCTGGGTGAAGGTGACCACCTGGGAAGCTGAATGTAAATATTTCTCCTCTGAGGAATGCGCCTTCATTAAACCGAAATGAATACATGGAAGCATCCAATCCTGCCGCACAATGGCAGCGGTGCCTTTACTGCTAAGGGCTCCTTGCACTGGGGAGGGGGGACCCCTCCGCGCCCTGACCCGCTGCTGAGGTCAGCACATTTTGCAGCTGCCGTGTCGCCATGTGGTGGTGGGGCCCCCACTTGTAATGCTCCCCACGTGTCCCCTTCACCAACAGGCGTCACTGTGCCCAGCGGGGACATCCCGGCCTGTGCCATAGCCTTCACGGGGCAATTCTGTGGGGGGCAATAATGTCAGCAGGGAAGGGATGGGGTAGCACAGACTGCCATGTGCTGGGGAGGAAATAGGAAACAGCTTCCACATCTTCTCCTTGTCTTACATTTCCAGCTGGCTGTGGAAGGGGGGGCACAGAGGGACAAGGAGGGGGGGTAGAAGCTGTCCTCTCTGCCTTGTGGTTGCCCTCAAGCCAGCCTACGCTGGAGTTTGCGCTGCTGGGTGAGAGGCTCTCACCACCTCTTTGCTTTCCTGCCCAAGGATGCATCACCACCTCGGGGAGATGGAGGAACTGCGGGCAGAGATTCAGGGGAGACTGAGGGTGGGTTCACTGTATTAATAACAACCTTTGCACAAAGAGTTGGTGGTTTGTGTGTGAAGTGTTTCAGCTTTCCCTGAGACTGGGCCAAGATAATTTCTTGCAATTTTTGAAGGGCCAGATTCTTGCTTGACATGAATGCCCGTGCTCTGGTGAGACCCCATCTTGCCATAAGTCCAAATTCCCACCCCCAATGAAGTAGTCCTGGGATTGGGGCGCGTATTTGGTAACTAAGAGACACACACACAGACTGCTGAGTCTGTATTAAAGTATCATCTCTGAAGTGGGCAACTGGGCCCTGGTCTGCCCCTCTCCCACCCCTTTTCCCCATGGCAGCTGTGTTGCAGTTGGATGCAACCCCAGAGAAGGTCAAGGAGAGAGCAGGCCCCTTCCCCTCCTGGCAGGAGCCATAGTGGTGCTGCATGGAGGGAACTGGTTAGCTCTTCTTATGCTCAATAGATAGGTAAGTGGTTGGGTTTTAGACTCCAGAACTGTAACTAAATACACCCGCACATCCAATTGGATGAAAAAAACCACCCAACTACTTAGACACAACAACATTTTGTAAGCACTTAGCTACTGATTTATTTTATTGGCTATTTGTTTACAAATATTG